TTTAGTAGCACATTTGTTTAGCCTTCACATAGTATTCTTTTTAGGCTTTTTTTGTTTTTGTTTTTGTTTTGTAATTGATTTCTAGTTTCATACAGTTGTGTTTGGAAAAGATGCTTGTTATTTCAGTCTTGAATTTATTGACTTTTGGCGGGGGGGGAGCTAAAATGTGATCTGTACTGGAGAATGTTTCACGTATACTGAAAAGATTGTGTATTCTGCTGGTTTTGGATGGAATATTCTGTGTATATGTAAGATCCATCTGGTTTATTTTTATTTTTTTATTTTTTCCATCTGGTTTAAAGTATCATTCAAAACCAGTTTCCTTGTTGATTTTTCTCTCTGGATGATCTTTTCATTGATGTAAATGGGGTGTTAAAGTCCTCTACTATTATTACTGTCAATTTGTCTATGTAGGTGCTTTTATGTTGAGTGCATAAATATTTACAATTGTTATGGCCTCATTGTATTGTTCCCTTTATCATTATGTTGTACCCTTCTTTGTCTCTTGCTACAGTCTTTGTTTTAAAGTCTAAGTATTGCTACCCTGGCTTCCCTCCACCCCTTCCAGTTTGCGTGGTATGTTTTTCCAGCCCTTCACTTTCAGTCTGCATGTCTCATTTCAGTCTGAAATGAGTCTCTTGTGGGTACCATGAGGTGAGTCTTTTTTTTTTTTAATCCATACATTCACTGTTTGTCTTTTAATTGGAGCATTAAGTTCATTTACATTTAAAGTAATTATTGATAGGTCTGTATTTATTACTATTTTGCTACTTGTTTTCTGGTTGTTTTTGTAGTCCTTCTCTGTTACTTCTTTTCTTGCTTTCTTCCCCTGTGGTTAGATGGCTTTCTTTAACGTTAGGCTGGGATTCATTTCTATTTGATGAAATAAAATAACTTTTCTCAAGTCCAGTGGATATCTTTATAATCATTACTTTCAATTCTTTATCAGGCATATTGTTTATCTCTGTTTCTTTTCATTCTTTTGCTGTGGTCTTGTCCTGTTCTTTCTTTTGGGACATATTCCTCTGTCTCATCATTTTGTTTCACTTTCAGTGTTTGTATGTATTACAGAGATCTGCTCTGTCTCCTGGTCTTAAAATAGTGGCCTTGTATACAAAAGGTCCTATGGTGCCCTGTAGCGTAATGCTCCCTTATCACCAGAATCCACGGTCTAGGGATGTCTCCTATGTATGTTGGCTTTGTGCATCCTCCTATTGTGGCTGAGCCCCATTTGCTTTCAACCCAGTTGACTACAATGACCCACTTTTTCTGCTGTGGGCTCACTGGACAGAGTTTGGTTTCTGTACTGTTGAAGGGTCTGTGTGAGAGACCTCCATAGATAGGCGGGATCAGCAGCCATGCGAGCTGTCTGCAATTAGTCTCTCTGCCACAGCTGCAGGCCCACCAAAGGCTTTCCTTGTGCGTGGCCCCCTGAGAGGTTTTGGTTGATAGGTGGGTCAGCAGTCAGAGTAGATGTCTGCAATTTGTCACATTGGGACACACTAATGGGCAGGATTTTCTCCCTTTGTGACCAGCTAAAAGGCTTGCTGCTGGAAGTGTGTGCACACTAGTGTGTGGTTATCTCCCCCTCTCCCCAGGGCAGGAGTCACTTTGGAGTAGCATCAGTCTCTTCCGGGGCTGCTTTGGAGGAATGCCTTCTGAGGCATGCAGATGGATAGAGCATGTTTGCTGGAACATGGGGGTGGGACACATGGTGCAAGTGTCCAGCACTTTTGGCTGGGGAAGAGAAAGAGGAATGGCAGCCGCCATCACTTTTGTCCTTGGAGAAGTCTCTCAAAGATCCCTGCTCCTTTAGAAAATAAATATAACTCCTCCACGTATACACCAGGCTCTTTTCAAATTACTACTTCTGTGCTGTGTCTCAAGCAGGGTTACTTTCTCTGCTGGTTTTTTAACAATGGCGACTTCATTTCCTGTCTCCCTCCAGTTCTCCCAGCGTTAAGCCCAGATTTTAAAGTACCCTGAATTAAGTCCCACCAATTTTTAAGGTTCCCACAGTTAAGCCCCACTAGTTTTCAAAGCCAGACATTATGGAGACTTGTCTTCCCAGTGTGGGTCCCTAAGCATGGGATTCCTGGGCTCTGTGCTTGTGGTATCTCTCCCGTTTGTGGTCAGTCTCCTCAGGGGTATTGGTTTTCAGCCATGTCTCTGCTCCTCTCTATGAAGGTCTGTTCTGCCAGTCTTCAGGTCATGTTCAGGGTTAGTTGCACAGATGTAGCTGTTATCTTCATGTATCTGTGGGATGAGATGAGCTCAGGATCCTTCTACTCTAGCATCTTCCTCATAATCCACGCACATTCATTTTTCAACAGTTGGTTGAGCCAGGATCCAAGTAAGAGATATTTGTAGGCCCTTCTCTTCACCTTTTTTTCCACACTCTTTGTTTTTACCTTATTACTTGTTTAATCTTCATTATAACTGTGAAAAAGAGGGATGCCTAGATGGTTCAGCAATTGGGCTCTGCTTTTGGCTCAAGGCATGATTCTAGAGTTCAGAGATCAAGTCCCACATTGGGCTCCCTGAGGGGAGCCTGCTTCTCCCTCTGCCTGTGTCTGCCTCTCTCTGTGTGTTGCTCATGAATAAATAAATAAATAAAATCTTACAAAAAAAAAAAAAAACTGGGGAACCCTGGGTGGCTCAGCGGTTTGACGCCTGCCTTTGGCCCAGGGTCCTATCCTGGAGTCTCCAGATCGAGCCCCGCATCAGGCTCCCGGCATGGAGCCTGCTTCTCCATCTGCCTGCGTCTCTGCCCCCCCATCCCCCACCCCCCATCTCTCTCATAAATAAATAAATCTTTAAAAAAAACAAAACTGAAAAAGTTAGTATTAGTTCTGCTTACAAAGGAAGAAACTGAGTTCCTGAGAGATTAAGTAATTTGCTTAGCATCACAGAGTTAATGAGTGCCTTTAGCTGAAAGTCTGTGTCTCCAAAGCCTGTGTGCCTTTGTGGAGTCAGAAGACTTTGAATTTAGGTGCCCAGGTGGCTCAATCGGTTAAGCATCCAACTCTTGATTTCAGCTCAGGTTGTGATCTCAGGGTATGAGATTGAGCCCTCTGTCAGGCTCCATGCTAGGTGTGGAGCCTGCTTAAGATTCTCTCCCCTCGGGACGCCTGCGCGGTTGAGCGTCTGCCTTTGGCTCAGGGCATGATCCTGGGGTCCCGGGATCAAGTGCCGCATTGGGCTTCCTGCAGGGAACCTGCTTCTCCCTCTGCCTATGCCTCTGCCTCTCTCTGTGTGTCTCTCGTGAATAAATAAATAAAATACTAAAAAAAAAAAATCACAAGTTCTCCCCATTAGTTGAGTGATGGGCTTCATTTGGGGTCTGAAAGGTAAGAGGGCGTTCATTTATTTTTTTATCTTAGTGTAATGGTAACTCTAGAACTGGGTTTTTAAGATTTGTGAATTCTATTTTAACTCTTTAATTTTTATATCACCTTATTGAGGTACTGTCAAAGAGAAAGAGAGACAGGTGTTAAAGGTAGCAAGACAGGTTTCATTTAGCCTAATGCAGTAGGGAAGAGAGACTGCAGCATAAATTGAGTTCACATCTACTGAAACAAAAGATGAGAGCCTTTTTAAATGCTGGTATGCGCTGAATGAAAAATACGGGAGATACTAGGTTGAGAGGTTGGTCAGTGTGATACGGCCATCTATGTTTGCTAATTTGATGCTTATGAAAGTTAGGCTTCTGCTGTCCCACAGAGACTGGGAGACAAGGGCCATAATTCTTTCTGATGATTACATTTCAAACGGAGGGTTCTCAGGTTAAGAAAAGACATTTCTGGGTTATAGAAGATTTATATCTCAAGGATCAGAGAAAGGATTTATAACTGCAAGTTTTCTAAAGTAAATGCTCTAAGCAAAGTGAGGTCAGGAACTTGTAGTCAGGTTTTCACTGGAACAATAAATTTTCTTGGCAACATTGAGCTTTCTTAGGCATTTTAAGGGGGTTGGGGTCATCTGGGAACATGGCCTTAAGCTGATAAAAGCTGTACTAGAATTTGGTTATGTCCCTTAGTGTGCTATGGGAGAGGGTGATGGAGTTGTTTTGTGCTGAGTTTGCAGTTCCCGGTACCTGGATAACATCTTCCATACAAACTTCATGGCCTGGAGATTTGGGGGAATGATAAGGCTGGAATTTAATCCCATCTTGGGAAAGGGAAAAGAACCTTCAATGAAGGGAGTAAGGTATTGTTTGGGGGGCTTTATGCAAAGAGAAGAAGGGAAGCTGTCAGGAAGTTGATTTACAGGACCTAAGAAAGCAGCCTTGGATTTTGTTATTTAACTCCAAGATGAATGGTATGAACCAGTGTAGTCCACAGGAAGGCAAGAGATAGCTGTTAACTGAAAACATAAAGCTTCTTGGAAGAGGGAGAACTTGAGTTTAGCCTTGAAGGATGACAGGTGGCCTTTTCTTGGCTTAGCATTTTATTATGGTATTTTTGCAAAATCCTGTCTGATTTCCATAGAAATAAATTATAAGCTCATGATTGTATTATATATTTTTAAATATTTTTCTTCAAAAACACTACCCAAAGTTGCTATCTCTCTCTCTCTTTTTGACTCTGGATTTCTGGAATGGTTTTCAGTCAGATCTCTTCAGATCAACATGTTCTGAAGAGCTTCCGTGTTTTTGCACAGTTCTTTGTCCAAAATCTAACCCCCACTTTCATGTGCACCTTCAGGGAATTGTTTATGCTTCAACACCCAGATGAAGTAGCAGCCTTTTTTTGCTCCCGTGGTACAGTGTTTTCTATTTGTCCTCTCCTATTATAGCTCTTATTCGGTTTGTTGTAATTTGTTTGTAGGGTCAACCCCCTAGTATAGTTTCTGGCCCATAGAAGGTGCCTCATGTTTGATTAATAGATGTGGTTAAATATAATAAGCTCTGAAATATGTTTTCCAGTGTTAAGAACTCAGCTATCTTATGTGCATAGGTATAATACATATTTGTTAATTGAATTTTTATTTGTTCTTAGATGGCATTAAGAGGATCTGCGCCAGTGACAATTATACCTCTTCCTGGAGAGCAAGTACAGGTTCAGGGGGTCATCCAGACAGCTCAGTCTTCTGTAATTCACCCACCACACGTGCAAACGGTACAAAAATTCAAAGACTTAGTGGTTAAGAGAGGGGACTTTTATACCCTGAGTCTTTGGACACATCGAAGCTGCTTTAGTTACAGTATTATAAACCAAGATAATAAAGTTGTCTTAGAAAATAAAGACTGTAGGACGAATGAGGCAAATAGAAAAGTTTGAGGATTTCTAGTTTCATATATAGACTACCCAGTGAAAAGTAAGACAATTTGGGGAAGTTATTGCTCAGAAATGAAGGACTTCCTTAAAGGAAATCACCTTCTTGTCCCAGTGGTATCATTCTTGAAAAGGAGAATTCTGAAGCAAGGGCGATGATGGTAGTATCAGCAAAGTAATAAAAGTATCTACCTTATGCTTTGTGGGGTCAAATAAGAGAGGTCTCTCATAGCAGAGGCAAGTTCTTATTTATACCCGTCTGCCTTCATATTACTGCCTGACAGCAGTAGGAAGGAAAGAGCGATCCGGGGTCTTTTTTCTTTCTAATCTTTGTCCCCATTTTATCTTCTGGTTCCTGTGAGTCTCAAAATGCCTTTGGCCATCTGCCATTTTTTCCTGCTGACTATTTAGTATCTGGCAGTGTTATCAGCTCTACAGCTGTGTCTTTATGTGGTTTTCCTGATGAAAGGTGGCAACTGCATGGATTTTTGAGTTTTTATATGAAGAATTTACTGTTACTTGCCAGGGGTGTCACTAAAGAAAAATATTTTATCTTAGGTATATAAATTTCCCTTAATTCCAGAAATTATTTTCTGAGACTATGGAATAAATTTAGGGACAGTAAAAGGTTTAGGTTAGAAATGGTGTATTCGGGTGGCCCAGGTGGCTCAGCGGTTTAGCGCCGCCTTCACCCCGGGGCCTGATCCTGGAGACCCGGGATCGAGTCCCACGTCAGGCTCCCTGCATGGAGCCTGCTTCTCCCTTTTCTTTGTGTCTCTGCCTCTCTCTCACTGTGTCTCTCATGAGTAAATAGATAAAATCTTTAAAAAAAAAAAAAAAAAAGGAAAGAAATGGTATATTCATGATGCTTGAAGAAATATAGAAGTGACACATATTTCTTAATTATTACCCTAAGTTATTATGTTACTATTTCTTAATTATTACAGGTCATGACCAGTTCATCTTTTTCTGCCAAAAGATACAGATTTAATATAAGATATAAATAAGTAGTTGTACACTAGAACTTGTTTTTGAAGGAGATTATAGATTGTACAACAAGTTTCTATGGAAACTTAATATCTAAGTCTGATTCATTTAGGGGAAGGCTTTCTGTAGATAGTAATGTAAAGTATTGATTTGTTATGTCCTTTCCAGAAGCCCATTTGGGTTATTTTATTTTTTTAAATAAAGATGAGGGATCCCTGGGTGGCGCAGCGGTTTGGCTCCTGCCTTTGGCCCAGGGCGCGATCCTGGAGACCCGGGATCGAATTCCACATCGGGCTCCCGGTGCATGGAGCCTGCTTCTCCCTCTGCCTATGTCTCTGCCTGCCTCTCTCTCTCTCTCTCTCTCTCTCTCTCTCTCTCTGACTATCATAAATAAAAAAATAAAAATAAAAATAAAAAATAAAAAAAAGATGAAATCAGGGGGCAGCCTGGGTGGCTCAGCGATTTAGCACCACCTTCAGCCCAGTGTGTGTTCCTGGAGACCTGGGATCAAGTCCCATGTCGGGCTCCCTGCATGGAGCCTGCTTCTCCCTCTGCCTGTGTCTCTGCCTCTCTCTCTCTCTCTTATGAATAAATAAAATGTTTAAAAAAAAAAAGATGAAATCAAGTCTCAAAGTACAACTTTAAACAAATGGAAATTTTAATATAATTTAAAAATTGAAAATAACGTTTTCTTAATTGTAAGATATTATGACTTAAAACTTGCACATGGTTATTGTTGACATAATTTTAAAGGGCTTATTATTAATAGTTACCATTTAGTATGTGCTTGCTATATGCCATGCACTAAGTGCCCTCTGTGTATTAACTCATTTAATTGTGAAGTGAGAGAAAGCTTAATAGTACAGATGTCTAAGTTACATATGTTTATAGCTGCCCTTGCCATGACCTCCATCTTGCTAAACCGACTCATCTGTTCTGAGGCCTTATTTCACTTTACCCGTGAGCATCCCTTGACATAGTTGATCATTCTTTTTAATACACTGGTTTTGTTAGTTCTCTAGGACATGTCACTTACATGGTACTCTTCCTTCTCAGTGGTGGCTTGTTCTTGGTCTTGCTGTTCCCTCCCCTTCTTCCTAATATGTTCATGGTAGAGTGTTCCTGGGTTTTGTTGTTGGTCCTCTTCTATGTATACTGAACAGCTTTAAGGACTGTCTAAAGAGCTGTGACAACCAAGTCTATATGTCTAGCCCCAAGACTTCTTCCCTGAATCAAAGCCTCATATATTTAGCAGTCTCTGCAACATTATTATATCATAATTTGATAATAGTTGGATTTCTAATAGCATTTCAAAGTTAGCATGTCCAGAATCCAAATCAGATTATTGATTTAAAAAGAAAATGGAGGTCAGTTTAGCAATACAATGGAAATCAGAGACTGGTCTTTATAACTCTAGTAAAATAGTATTGCTTTATTTTAGGGATAGACTTTCTTCATAGTTCTGAGCATGCTGTATTATATGTTCCTTTAATTAGTTTGGACCTCTGAAATTAATTTTGCTTTTTCTTTTGTTCCTTTCTCTTAGACCTTAGATTTAATGACAAATGCATTTAGTTGGCAAGAGACAGAACATATTTTCTGAAAGTAAAAATTAGTTTTCCACCCGCATTGTTCATCAACGTAAAACCAGTTCTGTTTTTCAGGTATCATCTTTATCAGAAAGTGAGGAGTCTCAGGACTCATCAGACAGCATAGGCTCCTCACAGAAAGCCCACGGGATTCTAGCACGACGCCCATCTTACAGGTGAGTGCTCATGTTTCAAATCCCACATGTCTTATATTACACCAAATGGTGCTGTGCAAAGCAAACTATATTATAAAGAGGGAGGATGTATCTGTATATAAGATGGGAAATGTTAAAAGAGAGAGGTTTGAGCCAGATTATGAAGGGCCTAAGTTGCTGTCCTGAAGAGGAATTTAGTCTTCTCTTCTGGCAAAGTATTAGATGTCTCTATTTACTTTTAGATAGTTCACTTTAGTAGCAATGTGGAAGAAGGACTGTAGATTTTAGGAATTGAACTAGTTTGTGTTCCCTTTCTTAGCTCCCTAACTCTGGGCCTTGTTGCTTTGCTAAAACACATTTTTTCTGCATTCTTTGTAACTCCTGCACATACTTTAAGCCTTATTTCCTCCTGGATGCCTTCTGATTACTTTCTTTCCAACTCCCAAAACCAAGTTAAGTCTTTCTTCTGGGGATCCCTGGTTGGCGCAGCGGTTTGGCGCCTGCCTTTGGCCCAGGGCGCGATCCTGGAGACCCGGGATCGAATCCCACGTCAGGCTCCCGGCGCATGGAGCCTGCTTCTCCCTCTGCCTCTCTCTCTCTCTCTCTCTCTCTCTCTCTGACTATCATAAATAAATAAAAATTAAAAAAAAAAGTCTTTCTTCTGGTGTATTCTTTTTACTGACCCTGTTACAGTATGTATTTCATCCTGGTGGAATTCCAGTTAATAATACGTGGGCCAGGGGTGCCTAACTGGCTCAGTCCAAAGAGCATGAGACTCTTGTTCTGTGGGATCATGAGTTCAAACCCACGTTAGGAGTAGAGATTACTAAAAAGAAATAAACTAAAAGCTGGGGGTGGGGGGTGGGACATGCTCTTAAATAATTTTTTGCATTGCAAAGTGACCATATAAGAGTAAATGCTCAATTACTACTTGTTGAATGAAACAGCTAAAAGGCAGGAAGAAAGGGAGACAGAAAAGGATGAAATACTGTCTTTGAAAGCATATAAACAAATGCAGTAAGATATTAAAAGAAATGTTTTAAGATATGTTATAAAAGATGTTATAATATGAACTTTTTTTTTTTTTTTTTTTTTAGAAGTTATAAGAGAACTCTGTATAGGGTATAGTAATTCCTGCCTGGCAGGATAAATATGGGAAAGACTTCATAAAAGATGTCATTTGGACCACCGCTAATCTGAAAAATTTTGTGAGCTAGGGGTAGGGAGGGGTTTGGTAGCAGGAAAAGAGATTAGGCTGAGGGACAGTGTAATCAAAGTATGACATGAAAGAGGTTGGCCTGTTTTGGAAATTGGGAACTTAAGGAAGAGGAGGTTTAGCAAGAAAAGGTAAACAAGAGCCAAATTTCTTAAAACCTTATTTACCATGTTACGGAATTTGGACTCCATAGACAACGAACAAATTTTATATGTGAATTCGGCAGGGAGGAAGGATGAAAAAGAAACACTACTAAAATGAGCTCATAACCAGAAATTTCATTTTTAAAGATATTTATTTGACAAGGAGAAAGCACAAGTAGGCAGAGTGACAGGCAGAAGAGGAGGAAGAAGCAGACTCTCCACTGATCAGGGAGTTTGATGCGGGGCTCCATCCCAGAATCCTGGGATCATGATCTGAGCTGACGGCAGACAGACACTTAACTGACTGAACCACTCAGGCAACCAGTAAATTCACTTTTAGCAAACAGTAGGAGATACAATAAATAGAATTAAACCACTAAAGAACTTTATTTTCTTTTTTATAAATATTTTATTTACTTATTCATGAGAGACAGAGAGAGGCAGAGACATAGGCAGAAGGAGAAGGTGGCTCCATGCGGGAGCCCAATGTGGGAATCGATCCCTGGACCCCGGGATCACGCCCTGAGCCGAAGGCAGATGCTCAACCACCGAGTCACCCAATGTCCCACTAAAGAACTTTAGATAGCAAAATTACCAGGGACTATACGTGTAATTAAAATTATGAAAGACATAAAGAAGGAATCAAAACCCTAATACATAGGGTAAGAGACTGGGGAGTTTAAGAAATTTTAAGAAATAACTGAATAAAACTTCTGGAAATAAAAAATATAATTGCTAAAAACTGTTGAGGAATTTTCAGTGTTACACAGCAGGTTAGGTATAACCGAGAGAATCAGGGACCTGGGAGATGGAACTCCCAAGTACATGACCTAGAATGTAGAAGAGCACTGCCAGCAACTTTCTCAAATGACCAAAATTTCTAAGACATGAATTTGTCAGCTGCAGAAAGCAAGGTCCCAAACAAGATAAATTAAACCTAAATCTAAATATAACTTATTAAGTAAAACTGGAGCACACCAAAGATAACAATAAGATCTTAAAAGCTTTTTTTTTTTTTTTTAGGATTTTATTTACTTATTCAGGAGAGCGAGAGAGAGAAATAAAGAGAATGGCTGGGACACAGGCAGAGGGAGAAGCAGGCTCCATGCAGGGAGCCCGATGGGGGACTCGATCCCGGGACTCCCAGATCACACCCTGGGCCGAAGGCGGCAATAAACCGCTGAGCCACCCTGGCTGCCCTTTTTTTTTTTTTTTCCCGGTAAAGCTTTCAAGAGGGCAGTATGTGTGTGTATATATATATATATACACACACACACAGATACACACACACACACACACACCACATCTTTATCCATTCATCCATCGAAGGACATCGAGGCTCCTTCCACAGTTTGGCTATTGTGGACATTGCTGCTATGAACATTGGGGTGCAGGTGTCCCTGAGTTTCACTATGTCAGTATTTTGGAGGTAAATACCTAATAGTACAATTGCTGAGTCCTAGGGTAGTTCCATTTTTAACTTCTTGAAGAACCTCCACACTGTTTTCCAGAGGACTGCATCAGCTTGCATTCCCACCAACAGTGCAAGAGGGCTCCCCCTTTTCCACATCCTCTCCAACATTTGCTGTTTCCTGTCTTATTAAATTTCTGACTAGTTATGACTATGTTTCTGAAGGGGGAGGCTGAAACTGTAGTTAGATTAAGTATTAAGCCCCAGTGTAGGGACTCGGCCTTAGCGATGCCATTTGGGGCCTGTGGTTTTCTTTTAAACAGTTCCTTCCTTTTGATCAAACACTCAAGCTGAGAGATGTGATTATATTTTAAGGCATTAGTGCTACTTTCAGCACTCAAGTTCTTGTGGTTTTTGTCCCTTTGTGTGATAGCCAGACTTTTATTTATTTATTTTTTTAAAGATTGTATTTATTCATAGAGATGCAGAGAGAGAGAGAAGCAGAGACACAGGCAGAGGGAGAAACAGGCTCCATGCAGAGAGCCTGACGTGGGATTCAGTCCAGGGTCTCCAGGATCACACCCTGGGCTGCAGGCAGCGCTAAACTGTTGCACCACCGGGGCTGCCCCAGACTTATTATTAATCTCTGTGATATTCACAGGTCACAACTTCAGGTTCACATTCTCTTTGTGTTTCATTCTTAAATGAGATTATTTGTTTGGTGGTTTAGCAGCTATGAACATGCATTTAAAGCTTTTGAGAATACAGTTCACACTTTACAATTACTGTTTAAGTAGAAAAATTGTCAATATTTGGAGGGTACCTTTAGAGCCATAGTCCCCAATCAAAATCAGGCAAGTCCTCCTGGAAGGAGTCACCTTTTTTAAGCCAAATGTCTTGTTCTGTGATCTTTTGTAACTGACTTTCAACTTCCCCAAATGTATCAATACAGGTCCAGCACAGACACCTCCTTACTCAACTAAAACCTGATTCAAGAGCTATTCTGGGGATCCCTGGGTGGCGCAGCGGTTTGGCGCCTGCCTTTGGCCCAGGGCGCGATCCTGGAGACCCGGGATCGAATCCCACGTCGGGCTCCCGGTGCATGGAGCCTGCTTCTCCCTCTGCCTATGTCTCTGCCTCTTTCTCTCTCTCTCTCTGTGACTATCATAAATAAACAAAAATTTTAAAAAAAAGAAAAAAGCTATTCTGTTAGCAAGGACAACTTTGGCTAGAGTTTTCGCTATTGCTTTAGCAGCAAATAATGCAATAAAAGTGGGTGGAAGTAATCTACCTTGATGTAAGCTACTTCTCTATTCTTAACAGTTTGATTTAGAGATCTCCAGCATCTGTATAGGACCAGGTGTCTGGTAGGGCCTTCTTTAGCTGTGTGGTGTGTACCCAAAGCTACCTTTTAGTTTTGCAGCAGTATCAGTAGTCAGGAACACTTGGTAAGGTACTTTCCAACAGGGCTTGAGAGCTGGGTGCTTGTTTCTGTTTTGTTTTTTTTGTTTCTTGTTTTCTTTTCTTTCTTTTCTTTTCTTTCTTTTTTTTTTATGACCTTTCCTAAATACCAGTCACCAGGCTCCAGACTGTGACCAATAGGATCCTTTGATAAGATCCTTTAACCTATTGATGATACACTTTAGTATAAGACATTAAAGACTTACAGTAACTGGTTATATTAGCACAAGACATCTGGGAATCAGCAGAAAGTTGTACATCAATAATAACGGTTTAGGGATCCCTGGGTGGCGCAGCGGTTTGGCGCCTGCCTTTGGCCCAGGGCGCGATCCTGGAGACCCGGGATCGAATCCCACGTCGGGCTCCCGACGGTCCGTGGAACCTGCTTCTCCCTCTGCCTGTGTCTCTGCCTCTCTCTCTCTCTCTCTGTGACTATCATAAATAAATAAAAATTAAAAAATATATATTAAAAAAATAATAATAATAGCGGTTTACTGGCATCTGTCTCCTGTGAAGTGAGTTTGAGCAGATCCAGTTTCAACATCTTAGGCCAAGGGAGTCCAGCAGTTTCAGCAAGCTTAGAGAATTTCATTAGTTCTTTCAGCCTTGCCTGGTTGAGGATGTTAGGGACAGTGATATATGTGCTGCCGAAGCAAGCACTGTTAGGGACAGTGATAATTTCAAGATGTTCATAAGACCTTTATCAAGGCTTGAATGAATTGCTCAGTGAAATGCGTGCCTCAATGGAAAGTATAGCCCAAGCGGGAAGCACGTTTTCTAAAGTTTTTTG